AAAAAATTAAAAAAAAATTTAAAGCAACGTAATCAGATCTGTTTCAGTGGCAGCAATAGCATTTGCCTTCTGCAATGGCAAAATATCATTACCTAAACCAAATCAAACTTTCAGCAAATGTTTATCATAAAGGAGAGCAGAAGCAGCATCTGATCCATTGCTGCAAGAAGCATCCTTGGGCCATCATATACAGCAAAATCTTTGCTTAGATATTCATTTATGGCTCAGTACACAGACATAGGGGCTGTATGATTCTTAATGGATCTAAAATGTCCTGAATATATGGATCAGTCAGTATTTGAGATGTGGTTTGTAATTATCTTGGTAGCTTTAAAACATACTGAATACTAAGTAAGACCAAGGAGTCAGTGTCATTGATTAGATTTTATTCTTGGAAAGTTATTTAATTATATTATGTGCTATTCCTGTGTCAGTACAGATCCTTCCTGCTGAAAGAAGAGGAGCAGAGCTTGATTATCGCAAAATATTTGGAAAGGACTGGTTAGAAGCTGGTGGGCATTGGGACCCAGAGAAAAACAAACCAAGTGAAGAATTTCTTGCTGCCCATCCCAGATACCCAGCACTTTGTCTTAGTAAGTGCAAGCACAGTACAATAGCATTTCCTCACTTCTGGCATTATGGCAGCACTGGTTTGGTCTGTCTTCAATTTCTCTTGCCCTTGATGCTTTTCCCGTGCGCTGCTACAGCCTTAGGAAAGCCCATCCATGGGCTGTGTGCTAGTGGGCTTTTGTTGCTGTGGAGTGGCTGCACAGCTCTGCACCCTTTGGGGCACTGCTGCCTCAGGCACTTGGGCTCCCTGCCTTAGCGATTCTGACATCTGTGAATGCCTGCCCCACCACTCTACTGCTGAGCAGGCAGTAGCTCTCTCCACCATGTGGCTTTTTGAAAGTGGGAATGTTAAGCAGCACCCCCATGTCCTGAACGTTGTAGCAGCTGAACAAGGCTCGTGTCTGCAGCACTGTGAGGTGCAGGAGCTACCACATCTGTAGGGAACTCTTGCGTGATCCTACACCACAGTGCTCTTAGGTCTTGGATTTTCATATTTGAAGGGTTCTACATGCACTTTTCTTCCAACAGAATATGGAGCACCTGAAGAAGGAGAACTGAAGGGACAACAGCCTTTGACTCTGAAAAGTCAGCTTCTGAGTAAGAAGCCAGAAATGGTCAAAATGGTTCCTTCCGAATTTAGAATATTTCATGAGCTTAGTATCTCTTAGGTATATATGGAGAACAAAACATTCAAAAGTTCCAGCTGGTAATTCTGCTTTTTTGAACTGGTTCAGTGGGTTTGACTGGATACCTGCTTCCGTGCACTCTCTCTCCTTTCCCCCCCTCAATCCAAGCTGAATGATTTTAATTGAGATTTAATGGAGAAAGAGGTAATTGAAACTCCACTCTGACAGTGTGAATGGCTTCTTTACAGAAGACATCTGAGGTTTTAATCTCAACAGCTGCATTGTTTTCTGATATTATATTCTTTATAACTTCTTAACTTTAGGATAGACAAGAAAAATATGGGTAGCTTTGAGATTTGGGGCTGTCTACATATTTAGTCTAGGTTACATCCTAAACTTGGAAATTCATGAAGCTGTTTCCCAGCTGATAGAACTGGAACGTTTTACTCTATGGGTAAAATACTATTTTAAAGCATTATATTCTAATGTATTTAGGTAGAAAACTAAACAGAACAAGGAATCTTGCTGGCTAGACATAATATAAACCTTTTTTTTAAGGATAAGTCTTTTAATCTCTGTAAAATAATTAGGCTAATAATGTCCTCAAAAAGTCTTTGTATGGTGCTTTTGAGAGGACCAAAAGCCTGTTTTAAACTGAATAAGCAATTTCCCTTCTCCTGCAGGCTATTTTTAAGAAATAAAATAGAAATGAAGCATTTTAAGGTCCTACTCCTAGGACCAAAAAATCCTATCTTTAAGCATTAGAGAGTCACTTCCACAATAATTAACCAAAGATTAATAAAAACTTGGTTATTTTAAGAAAAAATACAGAAAGTTTTTAAAGTTAATTAGTTTTTCAGATAATGACTAAATCCTATCTTAACTGCTCAGTTGCAGGCTACATCCTAATTTTTTAAGAGATCAGGTTGAGCAAAGGAAAACAATTTCTAATAAAAACAGACAAGAAAGACTATGTTTCTGCCAGAACAGGGCTTATTGTTCTTTCACTAACACCTCACCCTTCTTCCTTAAGCTTTGACAATTAAGTGTCCTGAGAAACCCGAACAGAAGCCAGTAGAGAAAAAGCTCCCAGGTAAGAAGTCCTGGCTTATGTTCAAGCAATTTCAAATAATTGTGTTAAAGAATGGCAGCTCTCTCGGGCTTGTCAGCTCCTGAAGCTTTTTCCTCTGTTATATAAAGAAATGATAAAGGCAAAAATTGTTTGAAAAAGTCATTCTTTTTCTGGCCTTCAGATTACTTTCAGTCTAGATTGAACATTGAAGCTGCTTATGACCTCTGCTGCTAGTTTCATGATTAATGTGTCTGAGGCAAATAAAGGCCAGTTAATGGTGGATGTGTCAACAAAGTAACCAGAATGTGAAGTCTTAAGAGGCAACTACATAGTGTGTAAATCTAGAGATTGAGGTCTAGTGTCTAATACATGAAGTTAGAAATCTAGTTCTGACTTCTATCAAATTTGTCTTTTGAAGTTTTAGTGTCTGTAGTGAGACCAGAATGAGTTAAGACCATTCTAAATTAAGCTGATGTTTTGGAAAGATGTGTCAGAATGAAGTCTGAAAGAAAAGACATACTCAAGTTTTATTCTAAAATAAAAATCACATTTATTATCACAAATTGCATAAAATCAGATAGATACAGCTTTTACAAAAATGTTTGATAGAAAAATATTGTCTAAGTACAATGTGTGGTATTACAGGAATAACTCACTATTGTGTGCCTTTAGATAAAGCTTCAAAGGAAGTGAAAGTTCAACCAAAATACTGAGTTTATCTATTGCAAACACAGGTATCGCCTCTGGAACAAACTACATCTACTCATTCAAGATGCATTACAAAAAATACCCCTTCCTATAATTGACTTCATAATATAAACACCTCTGCTGACAATTTTTTGGGGACTAATAATGCAATACCATTCCTAAGAATGTTACTAGTTCCACAGTGCCAATTCCTGGTAATGAAAACTTCAAGGAACAGTTGCCAGATGCAGGCAGTCAGAACCTGACTGGTGGGCGTCCCAAAGGTCACTTAGTTTAGCATATAGAAATACAAACTCAAAAAAGGTAAATTATGAAGCTGTAACACTTTAATTTGGTATATGGGATCAAAGCTTCTAAACTGTAGTAGCACATCCTGCCCTATCCACCACAGATTAAGCTGTTTTCCATTTGACAGTAGCAGATATGGTTTCAGGTACCAAAAATGTTATTGCAGTGTTAGAACTGAAGCAGCAATGCAGCCTTTCACTGTTGCTATAGGCAAGTAAAGTGAAACACTAGTACTTTGCTACAGCTCGGTGGCAGCAGCATTTTTCTTACAACTTTTTTTTTTCTCTCCCCTCAACAGAGTCTATGACTATTCAGAAGGTCAAAGGACTGCTGTATCGCCTGTTAAAAATTCCTGGTTCAGAACTGAAACTGTCCTACGAAAGTTCTAAGGTGAGTTAAAAATGGATATTCAACAACAAAATACTGGTGGTGCTAAAGGTCAATAGTATGTTCTAAAATACTATCTAAAGAAATTCATTTCACTTCAGGAGGATCGTCTTCATGCCGTAATTTAGGACCTAATTTCATTCCTGTAATACGATATATTCTCCCTGACTGCAACTGCCTAATATTTGGTTTACGTGAAGGGATTTCCAGTTAAGTCTGATTAGGGTTTTTTTTGCTTTCTTATTCTAGCTGGAAGGAAAAGAAGTTGAACTAGACAATGACTTAAAGCCTTTGCAGTTTTACTCAATAGAAAGTGGAGACTGTGTGTTAGTACGGTGGTAAGAAGGGACTCTCTTGCTGGACTGAAGAAAAAGCTGAACTGCAGAAGAGAGACAGACACATGGACAGCCTGGGCCTGAACACACATATACAGATGAATGTGAGTTTCACACGTGGCACCAGAGGGCTGTGCAACTGTACTTTCAGCTCCTCAACTTGGTCGTCAGCCTCCATGAAAATACCTGCTCATTTGTCTTACTGGAGAGATACCAAATAGTGCTTAAATGTTTCAAATAAATAAAACTCAAAGTAATGCTTTTGCCAAGATTTTATACTGCCTTCCCCCTGCACCAGTGAAAATTTGTTTTACTGAACTGAGTACAGGGTTTGGTTGTGATCTCTCTGCTTGCAAAACAAGATTAGTGCTGCACTGAGAAGCCACTTGCCCTTTGCTTTCACCTACATCCAACAACTTTAAAGTGAGCAAAACCCAGTAGTAATTTTAGGAGTATCTACACAGCCTTAGATGATTAAGGTCGAAATCTGACAGACCTTTCTTCTAGCCTACAGTGTTAACATACCACAGTATAAATAAGTTCTCAGCACACTGCAAGGCATTGCTATTTATTTTACAATCTTTAGTGTGCTGTTCCTTACTCTTATTTTACTTTCACTTGTGTAATCTCAAATTTATATCTAGTAATGCAGTGAGCTCTCAGAAATCCCTCATGTTTGCAGTACTTGAAGATTTGGTATAAGCAAACGTCGATTTTGTTTTTTTCTAAAATTACAGTGGTATAAACAAACTAATCACAAATCCTATCCCCCACTGCTGTCCCCATCCCTACACAGATGAGGGCAACCCCTCAGACAGCACAGAACCTGCTGCAGCAAGGCTTACCAGCTGTCCTGGTGATGAGCACAATTCTCCATGGTATCCTGGTATGGCCCTATACTGAGTTAAATCAGTAGTGCTTTAATTTACAAAAGACAGGCTAGTTGGCATTCTTATGTGCATTTATTAATTACAAGTAGGTCTTTTACTTTATATAAAAAGGAATATTTTTATCTTGAATATTTTGGTTTTTGTCAGATTAACATCTATACTCTAGAAAATGAATAGTATCAGTCCATTTGTCATTATCAAAAGGGTGTGAAAATATTGTTATACCTTAGTTGAAACCCAACATTAAAAGGTACCTTGATATTTCTTACTGTTCCAGGAATGAATCCAAATGTACACTTTCCCATGATCATTATACACTACCCTGTTTTCCAAGGCAAGTTCATCATCTTTCTTCACATCTACATGGATCTCCACACAGTTCCTTTAATCTCCAGAGCTCTCCCAGTTCCTGGGGAGAGTACTGGGGGGAAGACAGCATGCCACTCTCACATGTCTTCTCACACAACCAGAGACCATCCTGTTGGGACAGAGAACCATTTCAATAGTTTTTCTTACAAAGTATTTTGTCTCCAACAATCTTCATTTCCAAGAATCAGTTGTTTACTGTTTCCAGCAACAAATATTGCATACAAACGTCCCCAGCTGATATCATAGACGTCTGCAGAGAACTCAGGGTCTGCAATTTTGTGAGTTTTCTTTTAAACACATCTTTAAAAGAATTTTTCCTCTGGATTTAATTAAATGATTGTTTCAATTTCTTTTTAAAGGAAAAACATTTCTCCTATTTTATGCTACTTGCAAGAGCAGGCATGTCCTCTTTCTGTAAGATCAGACAATTCCTTCAGACTTACTTGATATCGCTTGGGTCCTACAGCTGCCATCCAGATGCCCATGCTCACATCTTCACCCTGAGTTGACCATTAAAATAAAAAATACAAATATTAGCCCCAAGAAAGCATAAAGCATGACTGCAACCTGGAGTAAGTTGCATCATCAACCAGCAGTAAAGAATGATAGTTACAAAAACCTRCACCTGACTATTGCAAAGGTGTTAAAATAATACTCCCAGCTTGCCTGTGATAATTCACTATTCTTACAGAGTACCAAAAACAAGATTACAGCTCCAGAGATTCTCAGTCCAAAACTTCTGTGCTTTGACTGCTTTGACCTATAACAGACATTAAGCACAGCAACCAAAAACATGACAAAGGCCCACATTAGCCAGGAGAACCCAAAAATGACATTTGAGCAATGGTCTTTCCAACTCATCCAGTAAATACTCTTTCCCAGACCATTTTAATCCAGAAAAACTGAACTAATCTCTATTACCTGGTACGTTTTTAACCTTTCCGAGTTGCTTGCCAGCCACTGCACAATGTCTTTGGAGATGATGTAGCCAGACCCACAAGCAAAGGCTGGATATGCAGGACTTGGGTACTCCAGTTCTTGCCATTTCCCCGTTCGATCAACTGCCCAATTTAGTCTGAAACTGAAGACCAAATTAGATACGAGACGTTTAAAGAGAATTCTCTGTGGAACCTATGAACACTGCTAAAAACTGAACTAAAAACAAACAATATTGAGAGGAAGAAATAGGTGATCCTAATTATAGTTCCTAGTCTTATTTCTCTAGGGCACACATCTAATTGAACACAAAGCTAAAATTGTAACTGTTGTTTGGTCTCAATTTTGGATAATAAGAGAATGTCCTCAGAATAGAAACAAAAGCAACATCGACATCAGGTCTTCAGCATGTGCACCTTGCTGCTGGATTTTGATCCAGGTCAGCACTTGCATCCTTACCTATGTTTTGTAACAGGCACATCTGTGTCCTGCTAATTAACCCCTTTGGTTAACAAGCACTATAGCAGTGCCTCCAGCAGGCATGCAGATAGTGATGTTATGCAACCCATTTTCCTGATAAAACTAGTGACTTAAAAATCAGGAAGCACTATGTACCTTCTCCTGGCTGTTTCCCAAATGGAACTCAACAAAGCAAATGTTCAAAGGTTGACATCCCTGAATTATAAAAAAATCCTTCCTGGCAGGGGTGCTCTTTAAGTAAGGCTTTATTCACTGCTAGAACTGCTGAGTGAGGCAGTGAGAAGCATTCCACTTTTCCTGTTTGGGAACAAGCTGGTATTGCATTCTCCTGGCCTCACAAGTAGTTTATGCACTCACATCTAAGAGACAAAACTGTGTCAATGCAGCAGGTTCACTCTCTGTTTTACAAAGAAGTTCAGCATTGCTGATTTCAGTCATGAGCGTAAGCAGCTGAAAGGTTCAGTGAGCTAAGAACTGTCACCTCAGACAACACACCTAAAAAGGAGGAATTACAGCTGAGAGGCAGATACGTTATCTGATTCTGCACATTCTCTGCTGAAGCTGACGTGTTAAAGCACCAAGTAAAAAGAAGTCTCATCAGATACCTGAATTCACTTCAGGCTCAGTATCTTCCACTCCACTGAATCACAGCACAAAGAGTTCAAACCCCTCCAGACTGAGAAGCATCTGCTTTGATAATCATTTTATACTTCCACAGTTATTTCAGTGTTGTTCCCTACACTTCACACTTGCCTTACCTGAAGACTGCGGCTATTAGAGAATTTATACTTGAAGATGTCACTCCTACAGATCTTAGAGATAATCACCAGATAACCAGCTGCTTCACACATTCAACCACACACACACCTTATTAAAGTAAGCAACTGGCAAGATCAGATTCGTGAAGCAAAGCAGCAAAGGCCTGTTTTTCTTCAGTAAGCAGATGGCAACAGGAAGGCACATTGTGCCATTATGCTACATTGAATGCAATAGTAGTACAGAATTTCTGCTATATTGTATGTCATACTGGAGCTGCAATGCATTCCATGGATGGGAGGGAAGATATGGGCTATTGTAATGCCCCTGGTTATTCACAAATGTAATAACACAGGCTGGGGAAATTCACTTGAAAAATTCATTAATCAATAGCAAAAATGTGTAGCAAATGTCTGTCATTCACAGAAGTTAAAATAAAGTGCAGACCCTAATGGAAATTCTGTTTCTTCTGTTTACCCCACTTCCTCAAGTCCACCATAAAAATCACAGTGACATCACAAAAAGTAATATTTATAGTTCTATAGTATGAACTTTCCTTTTAACATCACTTTATTGCTGGAAAAATCTTATTTACTTAAGTACCATGACAAAGATGTCTATAACACATTTTAAAAGGAGGTAAGATATTCAGCAAGTTTAATTCATTGTAAAGGCATACTCTGGAAAGTTATTGTAAAGGACTGATTTCTGTATTCTGAGATTCAAAGTTCTAACACATACAGAAGTCCTGCTTTTTATAACTGGCTTCCTTAGGCAACAAGAGAGGAACCCATATGACAAGACTTAAATCCCTAAAACATTTACTAAAGAAATGGTATTTATATCTCTTAAAGAAAACTTAAAAAAACAACTTACTTTCCCCACCAAATGTTCGGCCTGTCCAATTTTTTCTGCATTATCCTGTTAAAAACAGCTTCCAAATCAATGTAACAGTCATCATCTGTCTTCAGCAACAAATCAAAACTTGTTGATTCAACTGTCCTGTAGTCAAAAAGAAAAGTGATCAGATGCTGAGCTGCACACCACAAACTACTGACAGTACGATCTGCAAGGATTTTTTTTTGGGATGCAGAAGGGGAAGCAAGAAAGCAAGGAATGTCTTTCCTATCCTTGACTTTTAAACGTTGTCTTTATCAACCAAGGCTGACTGCTTGTCCTTCAGAAAGGAGATGCAACTGTATCCTATGATGATCTTACAACATGGACTTATGTATGAGTGGAAGAAAACAATTTAAAGTTTTGTTCTCCAGGACAGATGGTGGATTTACTAATGAAACCATCTTAGCAGTATTGACCTCAGAAAGCTATGAATCCCTGACGCTGATAGCACAGCTGTTAAAAGCCACTGGCTACATGGCAGCAGCCTACTTTCAGGATGAGACAGTCAGTTCAAGGGCAATGAGAAGGTTGTAGGCAGTGGTAAGAAACATCTGTRGAAACAACTTTGTACTTACTCTTTCTCTGTAAATGCACTCTTGAAAGGTAAAAAATGTCATTAACTGTCTGAAATAGTTGAATGACTGACACACATAAAATAACCGAAAAAGCGTAACAT